CCATGGTCTTATATCCTTACGCCATGGGCTCCCCCATGGTCTTGACAAGTGCCATGGGCTCTCCCCATGGTCTTCACATAAACCCGTGCATAAATCAAATAACATATCATTTCTCATTCAATACAACATATCATATCAATTAATGGGCCAACGTTGGTGCCTTCGACCCATGAGTGTGGTAAGAAGAGTCACCTCAAATACTGCTAGTAGCTGAATAGTCCCTAGCTTCGAGTATCTACTCTACTCAATCCCTAAACATAAAAGACTCCTTAGATTCAACACAATACTTCAAACTCTAAGAGTCAACATTAGTCAAAGTCAAAGTCAAAGTCAACATTCCGATTTGACTCAACTCGTCGAGTTCCCTTGTTGACTGGCTGGATCACGAAAAGTCCCACCAACTCGTCGAGTTCACTCATGAACTCGTCGAGTTGCCCAGAAAACCCACTTCTTAATGCATTAAGTCGTTTCCTTTTAATCCAAAGATTCCAAACCTCAGATCCCTTTCAAAATGATGTCTAGAAGGGTAAAGTTTCCAACTTTACCCTCAAGGACCATCCATAAAGCTTCAAACTCAAACCCTAGGCCCTTTTAAGAGGGTCTTGACCCATTAAGCCCTTAAACTCTCACTTCAATGTTCCAAAACACAGATCTGATGTCCTACGGTAGGCAAAACACGTAAAGTTTCCAACTTTATGTCCATGCATGCTAGAAATACCCTTTAAGGCTCATTTATGACTTCATAATGGACATATTACATGAATGGGACATAAGGACCAATAAAGTTTGCAACTTTAAGCTTCAACAAGTCAGATCTAGCTTGACAACCCCTGGAACCCACATATTTTTGACAACTCAACCAAAACCCCCAAAATCATGCTTAAACTTCAAATAAGGAGATTCAGATGAATACATGACAAGGTGACGACTTTATACCTAAAAAATGTTGCCTTTGAAGAAGAGTCTCTAGATCTAAAGCCCCTCCTTCAATCTAGATGCTTCCCACCTTCAAGCTCCTTTCAAGAATCACCAAAAACCACTCTTTTAAGCTTACCACACTCAAGATGCAAGATAGAAAACGAATCTAGGGTTTCTCTGGACAGGGAGGCTGGTAGGGAGGCCAACCAAGAGAGTTTAAGTCCTTTATATAGGGGGTGCAACACCCTAAAATTAGGGTTTCATCTTTGGCCGTCAACTTGTCGAGTTGGGGCTCCCTAACTCGTCGAGTTGGACCCTTTAAACTCCGCGGCCAAAAAGATTCCTACACGACAAGTTGGAGCTCCCCAACTCGTCGAGTTCCAACCCAAATCCTTAAAAAATGTTGAGAAATGAATAATACCTGGACCAAGCGTTACAAATCTCCCCCACTTGAACTAGACTTCGTCCTCGAAGTCTGTTGATGCAAAAAGGTCCGGATAATGCTTCCTCACCTCGTCCTACGGCTCCCAGGTCCATTCGGAGCCTTTTCGGTGCTGCCATTGCACCTTTACTAACTTCACTTCCTTGTTCCGGAGGGCTTTCGTTTCTCTGTCCAGAATCACAATGGGCTTTTCCACATAATTCAAGCTCTCATTAATTTGAATATCATCAAGCGATACAACCATCGACTCATCAACCACACACTTCTGCAACTGCGAAACGTATCCTGGTAGATAGGATGTTGCAATGATGTTATGATTTGTTAGATTTGTATCCTGGTAGATAGGATGATGCTATGCTTAGTGATCTGTAAGATCTTCCTGTTTGTCAGTTGATTGGTAATATGTTAATTGTTATGTATATTTCGACATGTGTGTGTGTGGTTGGGTTGAGGCGTTCCTGCTTTGTGGTGAAGGCCAATAGACCCAGGGCGGTCCGGATAGACCGAAGGCCTGCGAGGCGGACCAGTCAGGCCGAAGGTCCGGAGAACGGTGCAGACAGGTTGTAGGCCCGGTGAGGCGGTCCAGACATGCTGAAGGCTCTATGAGCGGTCCAGACAGGCTGTAGGCCCGAGGAGGCGGTCCAGACATGCTGAAGGCTCTGTATACATGCTGTTATTTGTATATGTTATCTGTTTGGGTGTTGGTACTTTGGGGGAACTCACTAAGCTTCGTGCTTACAATTTTGGTTTATGGGTTCAGGTACTTTAGTGGATCGTGGCAAGGTGAAGGTGTGACCGTACACATCTTCGCGTTTTGGACTTATGATTTATGGGAAACTCTGATAATGTGAATGTTTTGAAAACTATGTTGAAAGAGATTCTGATTTTTAAATAATGTTTTGGGAACAACGGTTTTTGTAAACACTTCTATAGAAAAGGGTTGTTTCGAAAAGTTTAAATTTTATGAAATTTTATGGATGTTACAGACCAAATGTCAAACATGTCAAAAAGTCAACGGAGCACACCGTGACTAAGACCATTCGCATCAACCGTTATACAACAAAATAACCGTGAAATCCCAATAAGCGCATTGTAACACCCAAAAGGCGTGCCACACTCTATGGCTTAACAACCTCCTTTTATTAATCACTTAACCCTTTAAGTTAGAAGCACAAAACTTTAAATTTGGATCTCCTTAGCGACTTAATGGACAAAGTTTCCAACTTTATCCATTCTCAAGGCTCAAACTCCTCTAAACTCTAACCCTAAATTTAAAATGACCATTGTTCAAGCATTACACAATGAAAATGCATGAAGAACAATCTTTCCCTACATCAAAATGTCTTGAAGACAAAACAAATACAACCATAATGTTCTGGAGTTCTTCAAACTCCAAGTACACCATAGGAGTGGGCTAAAAAAGACTAAAAATGCACTCAAAAGTCTAGATCTAATGAACAAAACATCAATGTAACAACTTTTTACTTACTATGGTCCAAAATTATGATGAAGGACCTAGGTCTAAGTTGGAACAATCTTCCTTGAACCAAGGGGAATCTTTCTTTACCTTCAAGCTTCACATAAATGAAAAAAAGAGCTCAATAACACAAGAGAGATGGGCAAGGGTTGCAAAGGAAATGTTCTCCGGAAATGAGGGTGAGAGAATGACGAAACTCTAGGATTAATGCCCTTAAATAGGGCCCGTATCCTGAGGCTCATCAGCATGGGCACGCCGTACATCATTTAAGGCGCTCCACGGTTGACACGTGACAAGCGCGCCACGCCCTGTTAGTGACACGCCTCACCCCGACACAAAACTCCACGATTTAAAACACTTAAACAAATAAATTACATACTGAAAAATCGGATGTTACAATAACACTATATATGCTGTTATACTATTCACAAATACTAAATTTGATGTAATGTTTATTTTTAGATTATAGCAACTTTACACAATATAGTGAGAAATTTAGGTTATAATATTAGATTGGGATGCCTAAAGTTATTCTCAATTTAACATTAAAACTTACTTTTTACATAAAATATAATGTAATATTGATCTAACCACACATTAGACATTACACTAAATTTAGTGTTAAGGAATTGTATAACACAAGGAAATTGTTATATTAATTATCCACACCAAATATAATACCAAATATAGAGTTCACAACTATAAATTTACTTTTCGACTTTAAACTTACTATATTACTTTATTACTTGTATAAAAATAAATTATATTTAATATTTTACTCGTGTTACTATATATACAACAATTGTGGACACTTAAAAAGGCACATTGCATCGTGGACTATTTCTTAATTAGAAATCCTTGTTGAAGCTTAATGCATTTTCGGACTCGGATTAGGGTGACGTTACAACCATACGTCGATCGACCACTGCGTATATCTTGTACCTTCAATTGCCAAATTGATATTAAGCTCAGTTATTCCTTTCACCACATCCATAAAGGATCTGCTGCTTATGTTTAATTGTTTCATTTTTCTCGTTTTTTTGTTTTTTTTTTTTTTGGATGTGTAATCTCTAGTGATATTTTATTAAGAGGCATACTCATGCTAGGGTTTACTTCCCATCCAGTTTTCTTACAAAAATCATAAATGTTCGTTATCACGATGAATATGACAAATCAAAATATCTTCTTGTTATCATTCAAGTTTTTTTGCAATATAAAAATCGACCAAATCCCTATAAGATTGAAAGTTTTTCATAGTGCCACTTCATTTTGGTCGTAAGGAAAATTTTATAAGAAGAAAGTGGCCCCAATATTTTAAGTAAGTAATCATCTTTGGTAGATCTTTTCCGTAAAACCTACTACCATTGTTCGAAGTTTAGAAACCAGATGACTATTCATATAATTTTTTTTAACAGGGACTGAAATTATGAATATGGATAATTTATATAAATTTATCTATAAATATACCTAAAAAATATTCATACTATAATGTGTTAGGAAAGTGTTTATGTTAGCATTATTTTTATACTATTTTTATTAACTTGGTATTAAAAATAGTGAGAATGATTAGAGATGTCCAACACACAACATAACAAAAGAATATACACACTGATATGTGTTTGGAGCTTTGTACACGATCTTATGAAACGACATTCATCTTAACAAATACACAACATAGAAGAGATTTTTGGTTTTGATAAATAAAAAAAAGATTATTAAAACTTCATTACAAAACAATAATTTTTTTTTTACATCAAATGAAATTAAAGAATTAACGAAATTAATATTATTGAAAAAGAAATACAACCGTCCAATTTTTAAGAATCCAATAAAAAGCGGAGAGAAGTTCGGGTCGGGCCGTCCCTTCTTGGGACCACACTCGTGTCAGAAAAGGAAGCTTGTTCCCTGAACCTTATGTTGTCTACTTCTTATTGGGACACGTACCCCTAATACCAAACTGCTTTCCACGTGGCACCCTATCGAATCACCACCAAAAAGATTTTATTTCCAAATCAACGGTCACGATTCCATCTTGATGTCAGATTTCTACGTCATACCAACTCTAGTCTTGCCCGGGTCGGTGACGGGCAGCTGCCCGTCCCCACCACTCCTCCAGCAGGTATTATTGGTAATGGCCTCTTCCTCTTCTTCACAAAAACTTCATTGTCAACAATAAGTTCCTTTGAAAGATTTCTTGTACTTCTTTGTTTAAGTTTTTATTTAGATTCAAAACAACAGATAGTATTTGGGAATTGTTAAAGTCTTTTGGAGTTTTCGAGAAGAAATTTGTCGTCAGTTTCTTTAATCTTCCTTTTCGATTTTGATATGGCTGGTATGTGTTGTGGAGTTGTTGGTGAAGCGGACACTCCATCAACGGTTGAGCCTAGTGGTGGTCGTCAAGCGAGACGTCGCCGGATGGAAATTCATCAGCTTAAATTCCTTGCCACCGCCGCCTCCGACGTAGCTGCGCCGCCCCCGGAGTGCTGTAGAAAGCGAAGGAAGGTGGAAAATCTGGAAACGATTGAAAAGAGTGTTGTGGTGGAGGATTTAAGTCTTCCGGTAGAGTGCGAGAAGGTAGTTCAGCCGTGTGATATGATGCGGAAGGAAGACTGTTGTCTTGAAAGTTCGTCGGAGACGGAGATCGTGTTGAATTCATGCAAGTCGACGTTGGAGACTGTTGTTGAGACTGTTCAGGATGAGGATGAATCTAGGTTTGGCGTTACCACGGTTTGTGGAAGGAGGAGAGATATGGAAGACGCCGTTGCTGTAAAACCGTCGTTCTGTGGTGATGATCTGCACTTCTATGGCGTTTACGACGGCCATGGCTGCTCACATGTAAAATACTTCAATCCAAAATTCTTCAATCATATAAATACGGTGCTACGAACGTACATCTCTTGAGAATACTGATATTATTTGTTAATTTCTGCAGGTGGCGATGAAGTGCAAAGATCGAATGCACGAGATAGTAAAGAACGAGGTCGAAAATGGCGGAGAATCAATAGAATGGAAAGAGGCCATGGCGACGAGCTTCACCCGAATGGATAAAGAAGTGACAGAGTGGAGCGAAGGTGCTTCGATTTCGAATTGTCGATGCGAACTTCAAACTCCCCAATGCGACGCCGTTGGATCAACCGCTGTCGTTGCGCTGGTGACTCCGGACAAGATCGTCGTCTCAAACTGCGGTGACTCGCGCGCCGTGCTTTGCCGGAACGGCGTTGCTATTCCTCTCTCCTCCGATCACAAGGTATTAATTAAATCCTTTTGATTCTGGTTATTTATCCGATCTGGATCTGTCTTAATGCGTCGTGAAACTTACAATTTCGTTTAATATGAATGTAGCCTGATCGACCAGATGAACTATCCAGAATCGAAGAGGCCGGCGGCCGTGTGATATACTGGGACGGCGCTCGAGTTCTCGGAGTACTAGCCATGTCGAGAGCAATCGGTAAATTTTCCAACCGGAATAATTTCTTGTTTAAACCTTCAGATTCACAAATTAACCAATGGTCACAGATTGTAACTGTTTCGTGTTCGTTTAAATTTCAGGCGACAATTACTTGAAGCCGTACGTGATACCGGAACCGGAGGTAACCGTAACGGAACGTACATCAAACGACGAGTGTCTAATTTTAGCCAGCGACGGGCTGTGGGACGTGGTGTCGAACGACGTCGCATGTAACGTTGCACGTATGTGTCTATCCTCGCAAACGCCGGCATCGCCTCTGCGGTCACCGGGAAACGAAGTCAACGTTGCCGGCGGCGAAAGTTCCGATAAAGCCTGTTCTGACGCGTCAATCCTTTTAACAAAGCTAGCTTTGGCTCGACGGAGCTCAGATAACGTGAGCGTCGTTGTGGTTGATCTGAGAAGAAATCTGTAACAATTCATTTCAATCTTCAGATCTAATCCGATTCCTTTTTTTAATTGAATCAATCGATTGTTGTATTAAAATCATCATCAATCAGATATTGCAATTGGAATACAAGTTGGGTTTTGGATAAGATTTTTAGATTTTAGATTCATGAGAAACGGGTGAAAGTGAAGCATGAATTGATGATGGACGTTGGCCGTTGAAGACGCCGCCGTGGACGGTGGGGCAAGTGGTGGATGGATAGTGGGGTTCCACCATGGATTCGAATCGTTTGACAGGATGATGACTAGGGCAGAAGTCAGCGGCAGGTGAAGCCACGTCTACACTTTTTGTATTTGGTGTAAACAATGACGTGACTTCGATGTGTATGCGGTGGATTCCTATGAAACGCATAGTCATTAAAAACGAATATTAATTTCAACTTTATTTGTTAATTAATACATTATTATACTATAATTAAGTTATGTGTTAATTACGAAAATGACCAATATTGAAAATTACAACAAAGTATCACAAAATAGGGAAAATACAAAGAATGGGTCAAGAGTGTCTTTATTTATTGGAATTATTGGATTTTAAATGACTATTTGTGGATGTGTTTGTATATTGGAAAATGGAAATTATTGAATTGCTTTGTAGTTTGTACTGGATTTGGAATGTGGTGGCTATTTGATTAAGGTAAAAGGGTAATATTTAGTTTATAAAACTAACTTAATAATAACATATCTTAGATTAGTATATCAAAAGTTATTTTATAAGTTATAATAAATAATAATTTTTTTTTTTGATTTTTACTAAATGTTAAACGAAAATAAGCCAACTTATTTCTACAAAACATGGGCTAAGACAGAAATGGTTTTGGGACTAAACTTCAGATCCAGATGTTTTTTCTTTAATATAATATTAGGTGTGAGACCCGTGTATTATACGTGTTGATTTAAAAAAAAGATTAAACATTAAAGTATAAATAGAAAATATTTTTTAATGTACAACTTTAAAATAAGAAAGGAAGAAACGTATTTATTACAATTTAATATCAAATATATGATATTTAATATTTTACAAATATAAGTATGTGACTTTAATTTTAAAAATTGAAACAAATCAAAAATTGACAAGTACATAATATTTATTTCAAGACAAGTGTCAAAACTCATGAGAGATTGACATGTGACAAAAAAAACCTTCATTTATTAAGAAGGATTAATATTAATATTTATATTTATATTTATATCTATATCGTTATTACCTAAAATGACCCACTCTTTCCTTCTCTACTCAAAGTGACGGGTAAACTATCTAGGAATGATATAAACAAATATAAATATAGTTGTAGTTCAATAGGGGATCGATATAATTTGGAAGAGTCACAACAAACCAAGTCAAACCTATATGAAAATTTTAAATATTATTATACAGACTTTATGAAATAAATATATATCGTGGCACAATGGTGTCACAAAATTGTAAACTCATATCCGATAATACGACACTTGAGTTAAATCTGTTTCATATTATATTGATCTTTTGTATTTTTGTACAAATTTATTTTATAAAATTTTATATTTATCCAATAATAACCCATTCAAAATGCCACAAAAGATGCAATGTCTCTAATCCATTATCCAACATGACGTGTTTAAGATGACGTTGATCATATTCTATAGAATAAATGTTTTTGTGAACGCTTTGTTGTACTAAGTGAATGATTCGATCTAAAATTAGGTTTGATATGAGATGAGGTTGTGGCCTTACTCCTTAGCATCTATTGCTTTTATTGTTAGAATCTCTTGAGTGCTTGTCCCTCTGAAAAATAAGCAACATAAGCATAAATTTTTATAGATTCGATTAAAAAAAACATGTCGATCGACAAAGAAGAAAAAGAAACATTGAGAGTGTCCATCAAACGTCAACATCGTCTTGCGATTTGGTTCTAGTTCCATATATGCTTTCATAAATGTATAATATTTACTAAAGCAATCAAGTCCAAAATACCGAAGAGGAAAAAATGACATTATCATAATAAAAAGGGAAATAAAATGACAAGATTATATCATTATGCGACATTCATGGGCTGCACATTTCAACTTGTTTAGACATTTCTCACTGGTACTTGATTTTAACTAGTCTCGGGGGGATGTATCCAATTTTTTATATGGTTGTAATTGTTAATTACATATTGGAACATTTATGACATGTTTGGTACAAAAAATATAAAATTTAATATAAATGTAAAGATGGAGAGTAATGCTAGGGAAATGGAAGTTTTTACTGTTTGTTATATCAGAATATTCAGAAAATCGTTTCTTTTGTTTTCGTTGTATAAACAATGAAATGAAAATAATTTATTTTACTATGTTTATTGCCTTTCAAACAATATTTGTTTTATAATAATGCCTATATGATATACATCTTAATTTGTTAAATTATACATTTTTTATGTTTATAATTTTTTTATTTTAACAATTAGTTTTTACCAAGTATGTTTTATAATTGTCAATTATCGTATCTTATATACATATCAAAATATAAGTGTTAGGCTTGAAAAGCCTAATATATATACCATGGTCAGTTATTAAAAGGCAAAGTATGTATGTGATCATCCAATGCTAATGTTAAATCCCCAAAGTAGTTTTTAAACATCTAACGATATCTTTAAGATCAAGTTAGGAAATATCTCAAAACAAATACATAACAAAACCATCAAGAATAGAAGTATGAAATCTTGTTAAGATGTTTTCCTTAAAATTCTATTTCTTTTCTTAACAAACAGTTATAAAGATCACAATTGATGTGTGGGATGATGCGGGAAGTGATTGAGAAGAATAACTCCAAGTATCAGATGCTTGATTACACTTCACAACAGGAGGTTAGCAAAATATCATCAATTTAGAAAATAAACTATGATTTGCTTTTCAAAGAACCAAGAAGGAATTACCATTAACTAATTGAATGCTTGAATGAGGATGCAATGCAGTGTCCTTCGGTTTATAGATAAATGTAGTGCCCTTCTGTTTATAGATAAATGGTGCACAAGATAACAACGTTAGTCCCCCAACTGTTTGTGAAAATGATTGAAAGAGAACAATGAAGTTTCAAAACAATTGATTGTTTCAATACTACAAAGTTTGTAATAAATGCTCATGTGACATCCCCTAATTTCTTGGCTAGAAAAGACCGATTTAATTTATGCTTTTAAAATAAAATCAGAGAAATCCTTTTAAAAGATGTTGCGGAATTGGTCCCCAAAACAAAACATGATAAAAGTTTATCAAAACCTTTCTTTAAGAAATATATAATTTCCTTTTATATCAAAACCTCGGGATGTCATGTTCCGATACAGATCAAAAGCATAAACAAGATATTATAAGCCTTACAACAGTTATTTACAACTACTGATAATCCAAAAATCTCTCATCGTCATCCGACTATGTTCGGGGTCCACTACCTGTAATAATAAAAAGCTGAGTGGGTCAGGCTTGGGAGCCTGGTGAGCATATAGGGTTTTCAACCCACAATAAATAAATTTATTATGCTTAAACATCAAACAATCAACCAAATTACCCCAACCCCATTATCTTATTTATTTCTTAAGGATTTACCCTAAGAATCAACTATAACTCATTCCTAAGGATTCATCCTAAGGAATAGGCACGAAGTCACATCGTCGCCATGGTTTATACAACATACACTAAGTCCATAGCTGCCAGGGTTTATACAACATGTGCTAAGTCAATAGCTCTTATTTATCGACAATATTATTCACGGGAACCCCCCCTGCAATACATGTCAATGGGTTTTTAGAGTACAACTGATGAACATATAGTTCACACACTTACATGTTGCGAGCCTGCTAATGTTCCACAGATCATCTAGAATAGTCCATGGTTGTCATCCATACTCTGCTGAATGACGGGGGCCAACGTTTGGGTAAGTGATTCTCTCATAATTCACCACTCACCCTCAACTCATGATCTATATCACTGATCATCTCATTTATCCAACTCATCTTTCATCACACACCCACTATTTCATCTACCCATGTTTTACCCAACATTTTTGTAGATAAAAATACATATACAATTTAAATTATTTAAAAACCTGTATAAATCATTCCTTCAACATCCATCTCAAATAAACAAACAATATATATTCACACAACACGTATTTTATATAAAATACTTCATATCTATGTGTAAGGTGAAAGTAACTACACACTCACTTGATTTAATGATAATCGGGCAGCACTTCGTTTCCTAAAACGATCGTTTCTAATAAAACCGGGAGTTTTATTGAGAAACCGGGCTCTGCGAGGGTCGGGCTTCGAAACCGAAAAGATAAATTTTTTGGGCTTCTCGGGAACTTGGGGGCGTGTTTCGGGTGCTAAAATTGATACCGGGGCTTCGGGGGTTGTCAAAATAGTGAAAATATTGAAAAATGGGTGAAAATGGACAATTTTCCAAAATTACCCGGGAAGGCTCGCAGGCCTTCTATTTATAGGGCGAAGTCCAAAGGGTGAGTCAGCAGCGAAGGCACGAGGCAGCAGGAGGTGAAGGCACGTGGCGTCTGCGGAGCGAAGCAGCTGGCTCGGATGCGAGAGTCATCGCGACACGCGTCGGATGCGAGGGCTCGCCACCAAGGCACACGCGTCAGATTCTTATTGGACCACTTCGGACTCGTCAGCAGATCGGAACACGGGGCGAGTTCATACGCGAGGTGACGTGGCCGAATCCTAACCATGCGATTTTTCTCGGATTTCGCAATTATTCTCGATTTTTGTGCCCCAAACTTCTAAAATCCATAACTTTCGTATACGGGCTCCGTTTTTGACGTTCTTTATATGCACGCATAGGTAAAATTACGCTCTACAACTTTCGTTTAGACTTCGTCGGCTAATTTTGACTTTAATTTTTATATTATTATTTTTAACAGACCGGGACAGGAAATCCGTTAAAAATTCATAACTTCTTCATCCGACGTCCGTTTTCGTCTGTCTTTTTACCGCTGTACTAATATTGACGAGACCTTCGATTCTCGTTTAGGTTGTGTCGGCTAAATATCACTCGATCTAAAATTCGAGTTTTTAGCTGTCTACTGCTAAGCTGAAACTTAGAAAAGTCATAACTTCCTCATACGAAGTCAAATTTGGGCGTTCTTTTTATACATACTCTCGGTTTAACGAACACTACGACTTTCGTTTAGATCGCCAAGGCTAAAAAGTAGTTTATTAAAAACTCACTTTTTACGTCATTCGGCACCGTGCCGGTTTTGTCGCGAAACTTCGACAGGTTATAACTTCTTCGTTATAACTCGGATTTCGGTATTCTTTATATATCCGTAACCCTTATCACGACCATTACAACTTTCTTAATAAATATCAGCTTTATCTAATATTTATTTTCGACGCTCATTTTTATTCTTAATTAATTAAATCCTAGTAATTAAGCATAAAACACATAATATTCACATAATTCCTTTTCATTTCTTCAAAATGAGTTACAAAGGTTAACATAGACTATCACGTCCATATTAATGCCTAGCCTAG